TTGCTGGAAGGCCTCTAGTTAGGGACATTTTAGTCCAGAAAGCGTCTCGGGGTGTTGGGGGCCGATAGGGGCTGGGCAGCTGGGACAACTTCCACACAAACAGTCGGGCCCCCCCATGGTACCGGGGTCAGTGGGCGCTGAGGTTTAGTGACTTAATGGGAAACACTTGTGCTTTACTGCACGTCTAAGCCAACATGTTCCTGGACTTTGACCCACAGTCTCAGAATCACGTTGGTCTCTGTTCTGCCTGAGCATTAGGGGCTCCCTGCAGCTCTGGTGACAGCCTCTCACTTTGTATTTTCTCTCCCAACAAAACACAATGCAATTTTGCAATCTTAACTGTGTCCATGACGAGAGTAACACATTCAGAAGGACGGTGGTCACCGAGTTGTGCTGGCACCTGGGCCAGGTGCTCTCAGAGGGGTTCTTTGGAAAACGGGCACAACTGATTGTCAGGTGGGAGAATTTCTGCTGAATGGTTCCATCACACGAGAAAAAAATAAACCTCTGGCTGCAAAAAAGGGGAAACTGAAGTCTGAAGCTGTAAATGTAACTAGGAGTGTCTTTGGGGAAGAGAAACTGAATGCTTCTGCGTTTCCTGTCCTTGCAAGAGGAAAGAATGCTTCATTTTTCTAACGAGTATTCAGAACAAGTACACTTACACTGTGACCCGTTTTCTTCCCAGGCTTTTGCAAGCCAGCAGTAGCAATTCACATTTTAAATACAGATTCCTTCCGAGTCTTGGTTTGCTTGGTCCCAGAGAGTCACAGAAGCAGACCTCTTCATCATCCCTCTCCTCTTGTTTTCTGGGGGATAATCTCTGTGAAAGCTGATAAGTAATTTTTAGACAAATCCATTTTTTTGTTTCATTGTTGCACTCTATGGAATAATTATGAAATAGAGACTGTCACACCTCTTGTGTCACAGCACACAAGCACCTCTTCTAGTGAACAGGACACTCCTCTAGGACCGAGTGTCTTTGGCTGCCTTTCATCTTTGTAATGTTCTTAATCAGCTGGTACAATCTCCTTGAAGCACGCAGGATGCTTCACACCTCTGAGGAAAAAAAAAAAAGGGTTTTGGGAGCAGTTCACACTTTCAGGAACTCTGTGCTGCCCCTTTGGTTCTGCTGGTACAGCTGCTTCTGAGGCCGTGAGGGAAACCAGTGAAAAATGGGTGTTTTTAACCCAGATCATTTTTGTGATCCGTTCATTCTGTGGCTGGGCAGCTGGGGAAAGAAAGGATATTTCTTCATCCAAGTTTGCTAACAGTACTCTGAAATCGATGCAGGTGCAGGAGGAATTTGGTGTGTGTTTTGGGCCTCTATGCCATTCACTCAGGTGCTCCTCCTGAGGAGCCACAGAAGGTAGCAGGGCATGTCTGACAGCCGGGAGCACCTTCCCTCTGCTTGGAAATCTCTGGTGTCCCCCCAGAAGGAGCAGGCAGGTGCTGCAGGCAGTGGAAAGGGAGGGATGCACTCAGCTCTTTACTCACTGTCTCAGAGTGACTGTGCTTAATGAAAACATCCAGATTTCAGACACAGGCCATGTCTTTGGTTTCACCTGACGATCCTGTTGTGTGTCTGCACTCCAAACAAATACCATCAGAGCTGCATGTAACCCACAATATGAGAGGAACACTCTGGTTCCAGTGCTGTTAAGGCTACACAAAGAGAAAAGCTGCCAAAACAATTGTTTGCTCTTGTAGGAAATGTTTCCCTTGCATTTAAAAAGATTAGTCCAGGTTTGGGGTCTGATATTAGGGGGAGGGTGGGTGGGGAATGAGTACAGAGGTAAGGTTGCACAGCAGTATTTCCTGGAAGACAAATTTCTGAAGGAAAAAAAACCTCAAAACACCTAGAAGTCAAAAAAATCAAGAATTAAGATACACACCACCTCGTTCTCTACCTTGTGCCAAGCAGCATTGATGATTTTCTTTCACACTGCTGTTGAGTGCTCTGTTTTCTGAACCTTTTTCAGTAGATTTT